GGGGGGGGGGGGGGGGGGGGGGGTTAGAAGCGCCACGGGAGGGAAAAAAAAAGAGCGCACTCCACCAGGTCGTTTAATGACGGAATTCCCTCCGCATAGCGAGCCTTGGCTTTGACAGCCGCTGAGGGCAGCGCAGGAGCACCCGCCGCTGGTGTTGCTATCTTCTTGTGGCGATGACGTCATCCCTTCAACATGATCGCCGGTAGCGTCGGGTATGACCCCCGACCCCAACCGAAAATCTACGACAACAAGTGCACAGCAGTTTGTCCCGAACTCGAAATTTCTGCAACCTGAGCGAGGATTCCAGAACCCTAGCGTTGTTGCCGGAAAGGTGAGGCTTTGGACTGATGTGGACACTTTCAGAAAATGACGTGTGTTGTGCAGATGAAAAAAGAAGACATGGAACGGCTCAAACTGAGAGTCGGGGCTAAAATAGTGTTGAGGGAAGGCAACCGGCGCCTTGTAGTGTTCGGAGTTTCTTTTTTTCTATTCAATCGAAACCCTCAATTTGTCTGGACAACGCCAGGGTTTTCGCGGCGATGCCAAAACATCACGCGTTAGGCGAGAAGACCAGTACTTTTGGAACATTCCATAGAAGAGTGTATTTCGGGCGAGTGCCTCGTGCGATGCCATACCTGCGTACGAAGCGGCGAAAGACACACGAAAAACGACAGAGGAAATTCTGGTATGATTCCGTGCCTGATGCGAGCTACATCTGCCTCCGAAAACAACCGCTGTTTGCTCTCAATACCGTCCCGGGGGGAAAATTGATTGACTTATTTGTTTGTTTTCGTGCGTCCTCGTGACTCGGCGGCGACACAGGCACGACCGACGGCACCGCCGACCCTATCCCTAGCCCAACTTCCCCGATTGCATGCTTTATGAAACATTTTGTACTTGACATGAAACCCTGCCAAGGCTACTGGACCGAAAGTGAGATGAGCTGCTAGGTTTTCTTCGAGCCGGCTCTCGGCGCTGTCACGAGTGGTTGTGCCGCTTGGCCGGTGTTGCGGATGGAGCTATTTAGTGCTGCAAGGCGAGACGCCGTGCTGCTCAGCGGCAGCTGCTGCTGTGGATACTCGAGTGCGCTCACGAGTGGGCCAAGCCTTCACAGTCGACTGCTGGCGATCGGGGAGAGAGAGGTCTTCAGTATCCAGCTTGTACTGCGGGGGTAAATGAAAAGAGGCATGTTCCACTGTCACCTTTCAGCAACTTGTGAAATTACACCTTCAAAGTGACTTGTATAGCGTTTCGCCGTGCAAACCACGACAAAACTCCTCCTTTTTATGCACCACGATGGAGGCGCAGAAAAACTATTAGCCGTTTCCAAGACGCGTTACGAATCGACAATGCACGAAACACGACGGCACACACGAAAAACCAACAAGAACGCGTGTTCAGACTCGAATCCACGCCCTATACTACCGTTCGTCAGGGCGGCTCTCTCATATCCCTTCGCCATCTAGCCCGCCAGTTGGTTGGACGTTGACGCGCACGACTTCCTGCATTTATTTCTCTACTAACGGTTCATGTAGTTTAGTGTTACGGGCTAGGCATGAAACCGGGCTAACTCTTCAACGCTACGCTAACCATTCAGCCCCCAAATATCCACAAGTCACAGGTAGGTTAGCGTTGGGTGGACGAGTTCGAAGTTGGCGCTGCTGGGGTAGGCGCAAGTGTGGGGTTGATAGGATGAATTCTGTAACGTCGGTATTGCTTGTCAGCTGTAGGTTTGAGCTGGGAATGTGCCAGCTAGGTTGGTGCTTGGAGTACTATAGGCTTAAGCCGTTGTTGGGCTGTTGGGGCGGGAACCGTTCTTCGTATCGGTCTGTCTGCAATGGCGGGACCGTCGTCGCGGGCGCCCCCCGCCGAACGGATACATGTTCTTGATTGGCGTCCCCGAAAGTGCCTTGCATATTTCTATATTTGGTTGTACCACCCAAGCCAACATCCAACATGATACTGCAATCTTCGTTTTTTTTTTTTTTTGCAACTTCTATGCGTACATTATATAACATTTATTTTGTGTGTACTACTCTGCTGGGCTGCTGGGAAAAACGAGACTCGTCGTTCGTTCGCTACGCTTGGGCAAACAACAGCAGCGATGCTGCTGCATCGGCTCTACAACCACAATATTGGCAAATGTCTCTCAGAAGGGCGGTTGCTTCAACCATTGTGCATGCGTTGTGTTCTCCTAAACAACAGACCGCTGCGTCGACTGCCACAATAATGGCAGCTGTCGCTTCTCGAAGGGTTTTGATATAATAACGCAGTCTACCTGTGTCTTGTAGAGGACGACAACCATTGCGCATGCGTCCGTTTACAATGTCTACATAGTTGAAAGAACACGGCACATACGAGGCGGGAGGAGCGTACAGAGTGGAAGGAATTTCGGAATGGAAAAGTGCTGTGCTGTGGAACACAGGTACAACTTGTTCAACATGGCCGCACAAAAATGCTTCTCAGCGAGATACCCGCAGCCTCAACTTGCAAGATAGCATTGCAATCCCGGTGCAGCAGTAGACTGCTGCTCTGGTGGTGCCGTACAAACCCCGGGCGCGGCGCAACTACAACTCCTCCACTCTGTCTTCCGACAATACGACGCTACAGATACAAAAGTTTCTATGATAGAGATGGTTTCGTTGTGTCATATTAAGAAAAATAAAAAAAAACAATAGATGGCGTGGGACAGATGGAATCGGATCACGAGTTCCTAGGGACCAAAGCTCCCGACCCCTCCCATGGAGCCGAAACAATGCCGTACTGATGCACCCTGTCGGACTGGTGCTCCCGAAGGCCCCAGGCTGCTGTAGCAACAGCAGCAGTCAGCAGCCACAACAATAACCCAGCCCAGAAAAACCGGTAAAAGATGAGATGGTAAAAAACTACTCCTGCTGCTGCGGCGTGTGTGCATTGCTGTGTCACCTCTTGATGTAGTCCACGGCGTTTGGAGGTCTCTCCGGCTCCTCGTACAGACCCACGAGCACCTTCGTGAGAGCATCGATAACGCCGCTCTTCTCCAGGTACTTGCGGAACTCCTCCTTCTTTGACTCCGGCGTCTTTTGCGTGGGTGGTGGTGGTTGTTTGCCGACGAAAAGAGTCAAGAGAGAGGGGGACGGATGGCACACAGCATTTTGAAAACAAGTGAAATTTTTTCGGGGGAAGTTGAAATTCCGCTCACAGTGCTGCTGTAGAGGGTTACACGCGGCAGAGCTTCCCGCTGGGAAGAACAGATGGTGAGTGACAACCGCCGCCAAAAGGTTGCCGGCTCTCACAAAGCTGTCGCCAGTGCGTGACATCGGGTCTCCTATACCCTCGTCGACATCCCGCGCCTTTTTCGTAATTTCCGATCCATGCTATCCCCGAGGTATCCATCTTTTTTCTACGGCGAGGCCCACCTGTATCGCCTGCTGGCTACGGCGGGTCGCGACCAAAGCGTTACACGCGCACAGCGGAGATTGACTCTACCTTTTTCCATGGTTCTCTCTCTCACCACACACAAAAAAAACAATCTAAGAACATTCTCGTCCCTACGCTGACCTGGTAGTTCGACATGTCGACCTCGAAGAGTCACAGGGTTGGGTGGCCGCGTGATCCTTGGCTAGCAGCAGAGACAGCAGGTGCGTATGGCGCGACAACTTCAAAACAAGACGGGTGCCTTTTTATCGGCGCAAAAAGTAGAGACGCCTTGTTCGTTGCAAACCCCTGATATCTGCCGTTACATTTGTAATTTTTTCCCCTCGTCAACTTCACCTTCCCCCGCGCGACTGATGGTTCAGATGTTGTAATGATTGACACGAGTGTCGGTCCTTGTGACACGAGGGTCGGTCCTTGACGGACCGATTCCCGCTGCTTGCGCTGGGTTACATGCCATGTGCTCAGTGGTGTTGTGGAGAGAAGCTGATGATGTGCCGAACTTCTACATGTAGACATGGCGGTGCAATGCACCCAATCAACATGTATGTATACGTTTGCACACACATGAACGGTGGAAACTTGCACATGTGCACATCAGTGCACTCCACGGGGTCAACATAGCCAAACATACCAGCAAGTTCCAATCGCGTCTTCTCCCCCCAGACTACGGGCGTCAGGGTTGTTGCTGTCAACTTGATTGAAGTGCGTACCGTAGGAGCAAGGAGCACCAGTTCTCGCCTCGCATATCGACAAACATGGGTGGCACTGCGTCTGTTCTACAGCACAACAAGGCTAAGGAGACGAGTTTGTTGAGGCTGTACAACCGACACCGCTGCAACGATAGCCTATCCGAGAACAAGCTGCTTGCAAGAGGTGTAGAGGATTCGAAGGTATGGCCCGGCGGAATATCGAATGATACGTGATGTTTCGTGCTCTATGCAGTAGTCTATACAGCAGTCTATGTAGTCTACATAGGTCACGACGGATGTCTGGCGCTCTGGTTGCAACTCTACAGCAGCAGTAGACCTGGTAGACTAGACTAGACGATACCTCGAACACTGCGAAAGTGTATAAACAACGAGAGTCCGTGCCCATCAACACATTCGATGGTTGTTCCTCCGTGCGAGCAAGAGGGGAGGGAAGCAAAAGACCACAGGAAAAACATCCTTGCGAGATTCTCATCCTCGTGTTTGTGGTGAATCTGTCTCTTTCGCCTCGCCATTCGCATTATCCTTTCGACACCATCAGAGGCTTCCATCGTACACCGATGGCCAAGGCAGCAAAAGTCACCCTGTGCAAGTACCAGGCCATACAGTGGCACGTTCAGGCACTCCTCCGTCGCGTCTCGTGTCAGACTGGGAAGCTCGAGAGCACCATTCGCCCTCAAACGCCGGCCGCAGTGAGAGACAGCAGCAGTGTCTTCTGGCGAAGCCTCCGCCAGACAATCGACACGCCGAACGCACACGAGTGCGCGACCGATTGTTGGTCCAGGTTTACAACAGGTGTCACGGCGATTTCAGCTCTTCTTTGGAGAACCTGAAAGATTCCTTCCAGCAGTGTTCCATCGTGAGTCATACGGAACGCTGACATAGCTTTGATGGCCTGCAGAGTATATAGCAGTACTCTAGCTCTAGTGCCCTGTAGCAGTACTCTAGTTCAGTACCAGGTACCAGTAGTGTTTATCCTCAAACCCTGTACCAACCCTCGCAACCTCCCCGAGTCTGAGAGACCTCTCAATTGGACGTCAACAAAACGTCTAAATCTATGCATCAATCCCCCCGTATAAAAACAACAAGCAGGATGGGACAGGTTGGGCGACTGTCACCTCTATCTCAGCCGTGATGAAGAAAGCTGGGATAACCACCGACGAGGCGGCAGTTCTACTCTTGGCGAACGAGCCTGGCATCCGCAATAATCACAACAACACCGGGTACGCGCACGAACAAAGACAGGACAACTCGGCAGCAAAATCCGCACCCAGAGCCCCGCTGGTGTACTGGCCCAACATCATCGACTTCGTGGAGCAAGGACCTGCCCGTGGCTTTGGGTACCGTGGCAACGACGTTCAGTGTACGGAGAAGTGGCGTACCTCAACCTCGAGCACGAATAATATCCCGCCGGTCGCGAAACATCGGTTCGATAGCGGAGCCAAGAAATCGACCACGCCGGAGGACTTGAACGTGTCTCCATCGGGGGCGGGACAATTGAAAGACGACGAAAACCCGGAGGTGACGCCAGAATCGAGACAAGAAAGACGTGACGGGCTCAGCAGCCACGGTGGCGATAGTTCCGTCAGGCACAAGAACAACGAGGGGGGTGCAAACGATAGGAGTTGTATACGTCTCAGGCAAGGTCTACACGACATCTCGTCCGGCCTGCGGGAAGTTACGGTTCACGGTGCGAAGCTGTCTCCTCGGCAAATCAAGCACACGATGGACAGCATTCGAGAGATCCTTGAAGCCCAAACTGGGGTGAACTACTGTGAAGTGCCGTCGACACCTGGTGGACAAAGTCGCATCCCTTTGGGTGAGAGGGGACCGCACGCCCGTGAGGAAGGTGCAGGGGAGGCTCAGTCAGAAACAACGAGGCACGGTTGCTGTGTTGCTGAAGCACGAGCGACTAGCTTAGGTTCGCGAGGCACCGAGAGTTTGGTGAGCACGGCATGCGCGGCGGGCAAGAGAGGGGACATATCTGCTCTCAAAGTGAGTGCGGGGTCGTGGAAGGAAAGAGGGGATACTCTCGTCATATCATGGGAGGAGATAATCGGCCAAGCTATCCATCAAGTACATTCGAGCTGGTACCTGACGCATGAACGACGCAGCATCAGAAAACATGGTTAGACCCGGGAAACCTCTCGATATTCAGAATCGTGAGTACCGCCGTAGGGCATCAAAGTCGATCCAGCCGTGGGGTCGCACCATGAAGGAACGGCCACTGTTATTGACGGCATAAAATATGTTGAACACTACTTTTGATCCGTTTTTTCTTCACGTTTTACATCACCTTGCCGTCTCATTGCGAACCCGCCGCGTCCAGGGTATCGCTGACAGTGTCGATCTGAGGAGGAACGATGACTTCGGGAGGAACGCTCTGTACTACGCGTGTCTATGCGGCCATGCGCATGCGGCGCACTTCGTAGTAGTCCGTGCCTACGGTGACGTCGAGGTGTGTTTTAAACCGCGTCTTAAACTCTTGCTGTGGTCCACTGTTCTGTTGTTATTGTTGTTGTTGTTGTTGTTGTTGTTATCTTCACATTAAACACCGTGCCAATCTCTGCTCGGCACTTCCGTACATCTCCAGCTGACGCGAATGCCTCCCGTCGTCACAGGCCAGCAAAAAGTAACGATTCTTCGGAAAGGCAGCACTCTCCGCCAATGAAAACAGATTACCACCTCGCCTAGGCAGTCGCTACCCAAGACTATCCTTGCCACAATCCAGTAGACTTCGAGAAATTCCGTTGAGGGTCGTGGAGGACTTGGAAACACCCCCTCGGGTGCACTACAAGAGGCAATATACCCCGACTTTCCCCCGTAATATGTTACTCCCGTCAGGGAATCCCACAAAAGGAACGGCGGGAGTGTCGCATGAACGCCCTGTCGGAAGAAATTCGGCGCTACCTCGACACCGGAATCTCGTCTGGTGCAACCCCTCGAACGCAAGAGGCGAAACAAGACGAGGGACGACCGGCGCAAGCGGTACCGCCAGACCGGGAGAAGTATCACCACTCAGGGGCTGAGAGAATAAAGCCCGATGGCGCGCGGGAGCATGTAGGTAGCGCAGGGAGCAATGGTAGGGCGGTGGACGCTCGCGAGAGCTCTTTGAGCCTGGCACACAACGCTGCATCGTCCGCGGAGGGGGCGCTCTCCGTGGCATCGCTGTTCGGATGGGGGCATGACCGGCAAAAGGACGCGGACTACTAACAAGGCACGACGCGGCGTCATTGCGACGTTTGGTTATAAGACGGGCCAAAAACGGTGATGCAGCAGCATCAATCAAAAACAGAAATTTCGAATAAATCAGAACCACGCAAGGTTGTTCTGCACACTGCTGCCTCGATCGTGGTCTCAATAAATCGCGAACAACCAATACAGGCAAGGTGTTCGATAAGACAACTGCCTCGCTTCGCCTCGATGATCTCTCCTCCCGTAGCAGAGAAAGCAAGCTCTCACGAGGAATTAACGGCGTTGGAAGTCATGTGCAGCACATCGGGTTCTGCTCTGTGTAAACGGCACCTCTTCCTCGGGGAGGGAGCGATCGCGAATACAAGTGTAAGACGTAGGAAACCACTTGCGTGTTGGTCGATTCAACCCCCCTCCAGTACAATCGCCAACAACTATCTAGAGCGAGGGAAAAGTGGCACGCATTTCTTGATTGGTCAATACCCCCTGCGGCGCCAGCGGCGCGATCACAAACCGTGGGGAAGGAATTTCATTGATTGACGGTTGGTGTCAAACCAAGGATCATGTGATACAGAGAGACCAAGTGGTTTTTGGAGGACAAAATACAGGGGGTGTTCCAGGGAGTGACATAGGGCGTCATGCACGGTGTGCAACACCTTGCCAGCGTATCGAAGGCCGAACATACGCTGCTTGTATATATTGCAAGCATCGTTTCGTCATTTTAATTGGCATTGCCTCTGCATGCCTCCCTCAGCACGCCCATGTGCTTCAAATGTCTGTCGCCTCAGCCAACGCAGTACTAGTCAACTCGACAAAAACCCATGGTGCCGCGACGGCCTAACCATACTCCAGATAAACCAAGGTCCATGACCATGCAATCCCTCCACTGACTGAGGGGGCGTAGCCCACGTGACGCCTGGTGCTTAGTGTCTCACATGGCCCGAGAGTTAATAAGCATCAGACGCATGGGTCCTTCTCCACTCCAAGCGATTGTTCGAGCTGCCCGCCCGTCAATCTACTCGAGCTCCCCGCAGTCTTCGATCTTGACATCCTTCGACGTCGTACCTAGCGGGGAGCTACCTACAGCCTCCATTTTCTGGATGACGTCCATTCCCTCCGTAACGCCGCCGAACACAACGTGCTTCCCATCCAAGAAGTCCGTCTTCACGGTGCAAATGAAAAACTGTTGGGACAAACACAACATGAGGAATGTTCACTCCGTCAGCGAGAAAGACAAAAAAAAGTGAATGAGAACACCGGGGCGACAACGAAAAGCGCACAGCGACTTGCAACGATTGCCTGGATTACCAGCATCGGCAACTAAATCTTTGAAACGAAAAAGTGAATATAATTGCTGACAAGAGATATCGCGCCGAACCAAGCCTTACACCTAAGAAGATCAACACACCAACCGACAGATTACACAAGACACAGAGGCCATCGCACGCGAGCTGCTCACACGCAGCGGACAGCAAACAGCAAGATTACTTCCTTGACAGCTGCGCCCACAACGCCCCCACATTTCCCACCAAAGGCTGAATCACTCAAGATCATCCAAACCCACCACGCACCTGGCTCCCGTTTGTTCCCGGACCGGCGTTGGCCATCGAGAGGACACCTGGTCCCGTGTGCTTGAGCTCGAAGTTCTCATCATCGAACTTGCTTCCGTAGATGGACTTCCCCCCTGCCAACAGCACGGGCGGGTGACCGCGCGGATGTATGGAGAAGAGAGAGATGCGCGACGAAATCAAACACTCTTAGCTCGTGAAAACCTGCGGTAGTTCGGGCTGGCCAATGGGCTGGCACGTTCGTCGGCAACAAAAGCGCTACAGGCCTCCAGAAAGCAACGCATGTTCATGCCTGCATTACCACACCAGGCTACAGCAGTATCTACGACATCTACGATGTTCGCATCGTTCAGCGGATGCGGGAGCAGGCACACATGCTACCTCCGTATGTCACCCCAACAAGGCACAGTACAGGACCTGAGCGAGCCGCGTAGTCTATGCTGCTAGCTTGCCCGCCCGTCAATCGTTCGCTTCGATGGCGGACACGCCATCAAGTCATGCACCACTCACCCGTGCCATTCCCATTGGTGAAATCCCCTCCCTGTCCAGCGCAACGCACGGGGGTCGGGCGGGAAGACGTGTCGTGTGGCGGAGAGCCGTTTGGAAATGACGTTTGAAAAGTCTCGGAGCAGAGCAAGCACAGCTCGAGTCTTCAGAACCGCACCCCGGGGGGAGTTTAGTTCACTCATTGACAAACGGGAGCAACGCCTATTCCAGACCATGTTGTACGCGTGCAGCAGCAGCAAAGTTCACCAGACACGTCAAGCTTGAGGAGCAATGCTACCGAAGTGACGGGCGAGGAATAGACAAGTGCCTTTCAAGACGTTTTCACTGGTATGTTTGGGGCGCCAAAAAGAGCGTGTCCAGACCAGGGTAGAACATGGCGTGTTGTGATATTTACAACAACCACCACACAACAACCATTACCTGGCACATGAACTGCGGGATGATCCTGTGGAAGGAGGAGCCCTTGTAACCGAAACCTTTCTCCCCCGTGCAAAGCTGTCTGAAGTTCTCCGCCGTCTTGGGCACGACGTCCGCCCGTAGCTCCATGACCACTCTCCCGGCCGCGGCTCCCCCGATGTTGATATCGAAAAACACCTATCGGAGGTTCCACACAGCAGTACGGGCCCGCCGCAGGAAAGAAATGCTTTGTTAAGAGAAAGAGATGCTCAAACATTTACGGAAAATATGAAAATAGGGTCAAGAAACACAGCTCAGCGGTGGGCCTATACTAAACTGTATAGATAAGAACCTGTGTTCGACAGCGGTAGTGGCGATAAAACAAGCCGAAGCCTCGACCCGACCTCACTCTTATTGCTGGGCCCGTTACCGGTGTAGTCGCGTACTTGCCGCAGTAGCTTCGTTTTTATTTTTCTATATCTGCAACAGAATTTCAAAAATTGGCATGGGTGCGCAATAAATTGCCTGGTGAGAACAGGTGATTACAACGTATGTAGCACCAATCAATCTCCTCCCTCCTGCTGGGTCGAAATGGAGGAAGAAAGTACTGTATCATAGACGTTTGGGCAATTGCTGTCGGACGATGCAACAGGAGGCTGGGTACCAAAAGAGCGAAGATATGTTGCAGTGGCATTGCTGCATCAGCAGCCGCACACACCGGACCCGTGCGTACGATGCCATTCGTCCCACCGTATATATTTGGGTCTCTTACAGTAGTCTGGGCTATTGCTGCTACGATACTACGATACTATTGCTGCTGTAGCTCCGTGGCTCCGTGGTCGGCTTCAAATCAAATGCGGCGGAACAATCTGCACCGTTGATCACTCTGTCACCGAAGAGCAAGAGGACGCTCGAGGCTCGCTCTCACCGAAGGGTTCTTCGCCGCCGTCGAGAACGCGCGCATGGCACTTCGCCTCCCAACCGAGGACCTCAAAGTAGCGAACATGGTTGGTTGTCGATTGGTGCTGGTGTGCTGGTGATTTAGCAGCTGGCGAAGAGCAGGTGAGAGCCATCGAGAGGAGCTCCGCAAAATCTTGCGGGTGCGTACGTTTGAAGACCGGGCTGCGTGCTCTCCTGGCAGTCGCTACCACTGGTGGGTACGCTCCACGTGTACCCTTTGTCTCCTTTGCTTTCGAGGGCAGCACACGAAGCACAGCAGCGGTGGAGCTACCGAAATCTCTACCGGGGAGTGCTTTCAGGTCGCGCATATAACAGAGGAGCGTGTGGCGTATTCGTTCGAAACAGAACTGTGAGCGCCTTAGGCTTGTACGAAACGCGGAGAGTTTCGTGGCTTCATCCAAGTAGGCGACACGACGCGGCCAGTTCTGCCGTGTTGGGGCAGCAAGGGATCCCTCCCCTGAGAATAATTCCAGAGTGTTGTTTCTGCACAGGGCGCAACGCTCTTAGAACTGCAGCAGCCTCGGGAGAGCACACACGTCGCGCAAGAGAGCACCTTGGAAAAGAGAGAGCCAGTGCGCAAATTTCTGCAGCAAGAGTTGTCTGCCCCCTTCCTGGCGCAATGTTCGGCTTGGGCCCAGGCTTAGGCCGGCTTCCTCGTGGAGGAATGCGTGATTACGGTGGTGGTGGTGGTGGTGGTGGGCGAGGGCAACGCCGTCGGCCGTGGGCCCTGATCCTCGCCCTACGGCTTGTTCACCAGATCTCTCAGCTCCAGCACAAGCCGCCCTTGACCCTGGCCCTTATGGCGGGCATGTCTGCCCTGCACTTGAAGCCCGACATTTTCAAGGACCTGTTCGGCAGGAAGGGGGTGTTCGAGTGGAGCTGGCTTACGGGAGGTTTCGATCACATTCGGAACGTGTGTCTGCTGCCTGCGTCTATTCTGGATACGTACGAACGGTGAGGTAGAGTGGGCTATCAACTATGTACTGCACGTGTGTTGGCATATGATTAATCAAGAGCGTGTCGTCGGTTGTCTACAACTATAATAGATACGTCTGCCATGTTCGTAGGTCCTGTACCCTTTGCATTGTCGGAGAGCTTTCACATCGAATCTTGGCAGTGAAAGATGATGCTGCTGTGCTATTCTGCTGCACGCACGTCGTACCTTTTCGCGGTTATGTTGGTGGTTCGCCGTATCTGTCCAACCACAGCAGTAGCACGACATTGCGGCCATGCTCGTATTCTGGACTTATTGAGAATCAAGACTTGCTTCATGGTTCATGCATTAACTTGCCGGGGTGTGGAGATTAACACCTCTGCAAACACGCTTGATTTTAGTGGAGTCTTTGCTCACACTGCTCCTGCCCCGCTCTCTCTTGACAGAACGGGTGAGGTGGAGATCCGACGCTTGCTGATGTCCCCGTTCGTGCACGGAGACGACATGCATCTGTACTACAACATGGCTTCCTTCCTGCTCAAAGGGGTGTCGCTGGAGCTAACCATGGGGACGCAGGCTTTCGCCGGGCTCTTGTCCTTCAGCCTCCTCGCCTCTCAGACGCTCATGATGCTCTCCGCCTGGGTCCTACTAGTCGTGTTCGATGTGCCGTCACCTATGCACGCCTGTGCGGTCGGCTTCAGCGGGGTGCTGTTCGCGCTGAAGTACGTCTTGTCTCGACGGTCCCCAGGGGTCACATCGGTGAGTGGCTGGGCACAACATTGCTCATTTGTTTGCCTATTTTTGATTGCTTGGTTTATTTGGGAGCACGCTGTGGAAAAGGCGGTTGAAGCTCCCCTCCCAAGAAGGCGTTGTTCCAAGCGCGTCGGCTTCGAACCCCCCCATAAGTTAGTGTCCCTCAGCGAGCAGCCTTGGAACGAAAGAAGTTGCGTTGCATTTTCTGGTTGACGGGTGTTCCCATCTGGCGTCTGGCCAACTGACATCGACTCTTATGGAATGTGTTGAGCGGTTTGTACGTACTTCACAGAAAGAAAAGTCGAGCGCGAACGGTCTACCAGCAGTAGGAACTTCCACCCCGTGGGCACCAGCTACAAGAAGCAATACCGTATGCGACACAAGATATCACACTCCCTGGACCGATTTTCAAAGCTCGATTACTACACGACGAAGAGGATGCACTAACGAAACGATACGTTTCCGGATAGCTCTCGACCAGTCGGTTTCAACACCGCCGTTGTCGGTGCTGCGACTCTTTCTGATGTTGATCAATCGAGCCTTGAAAATCGGTCCAGGGTGTGTGTTATCTCGTGTCATATTCGGTAGGTTGGACCGTGGCGGATCGCACTGGCTTAGTAATACTCAGGTTCAGTGCCCCATACGGGCTTCTTACGGGATTTCGGTGGTTCTCTCAATCGCGTGTGGTGTGCTTGAAAGTACGTGTAGTCCCAATGTCGTGTTGTTGCTTGCTTCCCTCTCCGCAAAATGTATCCACAGGTGATGGGATTTAGCGTGCACACCCGTTACGCCACCTGGCTGGAGCTTGTGCTGATTTCTGTCATGGTCCCGAACGCGTCCTTCCTGGGCCATCTGTGTGGGATCTTGGCCGGCGTGTTGTACGTCGAGGTGCCGATCGTCCTTCGCGTGGTCAACCTCTTCACGGGAATCTCGCTCTACAACAACAGGCGGGGGCGTTCGTACACGTACAACAGCGGCACTAGCGGCAGGGCTAGTCCCGAAGGGGCGAGAAGAGAAACCCGGCAGCAGTCGCCGAACCCCCCCGCTGCGTACGACATAGACAGCGACCCCGAGGCGGAAGAGGCGGCTTTGCAAGAGGCACTACGGCGTTCTCTGCTAGACAGCACGAGGGGCGGCGGTGCTGGCGACAATTTGAGGCGGGACAACGGCAATAGCGCCGCCGACAACCCTGGGTCAAGGTCTCGACCAATTGGGGATGATGCGGTTGCAGCCACAGAATTTTTGGGACCGGCACCGACCGCCCCACCTCCGGAAGAGAACGCTGGTGGTTACGGGGCAGGGGGTGGCGAAATAGCACCGGATGAGTTGCGTAGACGACGCCTGCGACGCCTTGGTGCGGGCAGGTGATGTGATAGAGGGTCTGGGAAAATACATTTCCCAAATTGGTGGTGATTTGCTCTCTGTATGTGTGTTAGAGGTCAGTAATAATTTGTTGCTGTGTTGTCCCTGGGAGTGGGCGTTTGTTTTTACGGCGCAGCAGAATCTGAAACAACTTACAGAGTCCAAGATGGTTAGGGGGGCCTAAAGGATTGCCCACATCAGGTGTGCGCCTCCCCCAGTCGAGCTTGCCGATCGAACTGGCCGGGTCCTATAATAGCTGTGGCGTGGCCGTGCCTTTCGTTAAGCGCGAGCAGTCCACCGGGGTACAAAATGTGTACCTCGTACATAGATCTGGCCGACGATGTTATTGTCGTTCTGAGGAATGCCGTGACAGAAACTGGACCGCTTAGCTTTGAAGTCGGTCAGTACGCTGTTCTGCTTTGAACCGTCGAACTCCCGGCCTTGAACTTCACATGGCAGGTGCAATCACCTACAACCCTGTTTTTTTCCCGTTCCCGAAGTAGTCAAAAGAGCTTGGGACACAGCGTAGACTCCTTACCGATGCAAGACGTACAGCTATTTACAACTCCGCTATTGTCTTCTTCAATTTCCTGGAGGAAGGCTCAGCTGAACATGCCTGCTCGAGATCGAAACACGTAAAAGAAAGCGCGCTACGTTCGCAACCTATCGCCAAGGGCCATGCCGATAAGCTAGTGCTGAAGTCCCACGCGTAGAGGTGGCATACTGGCAACGAGAAAAATGCTCACTTGTCATGAGGCTGCCACAACACACGAATTCATGATTGGTCGAAACGTCGGGAAAGAGCGAAAGCAAACCTAAACCGGTAGGGGATTACCGTCTCCCGCCAGAAGGTCTTGCAACAGCGTCACGTCCACGTTGCCGCCGCACAGCACCACCCCAACTCTTTTCACGTCTTGAGGCATGCCTCGCACTCGCGGCGACATCAACGCTGCCACCCCGACAGCGGCGCTCGGCTCGATGACCAGCTTCATTCGTTCGTAGACCACTCGCATCCACAGCCGGATCTCCTCCTCTGACACGGTGACTATCTCGTCGACCGAATCTCTGTGGCAATGCGGGAGATGCCGAAAAAATGTCGTGAGGACGAGAGAAAATGTTTCTCGAGTACGGTCCCACTGTTGCAAGAAACCTGGGGTACACCGGTTAACGGTACACCCATCGAGGTTACTCCCATTTGGGGGAACACCCATTGAGGACACACCCGTTGAGGATACACCCATTGAGGGTACACCCATTGAGGGTACACCCATCGAGGGTACACCCATTGAGGGTACACACATTGAGGGTACACCCGTTGGCACCCAGCACGACCTCGAAGTACGTATTAACATAGGAGATTTATGAGCATACAGTGATTTTCCCAACCCGTCTAGTCTATCGAGGCCCCATACCCTGCGACTCGAGCTGATCCCTTTGAAATCGACCTGTCGATAAACGCCGTTGCTCAAACCCTTCTGGATCAGGGACGAAAAAAGCTCTCGATTAACAAAAAACTTGCCGCATTGCCCTTTGATTTTTCTGAACTAGCGTTTGGAACTAAATGCCTGTGGTTGATGTGTGTGTCCGAGGCAATCCGCCAGAGTGGAAAGCGTCATTGGATACTGTTTGTGGTGCGGCAGGGCTACAAGGGTTGGGGTTACTGCACCTGACGACTGGCCACGTCGTGCTCCCGAGTGTCGTACGGAGACCATCGGCGATCGTGTCTGGCATCCCCTCGCAGTCGTGTCCCTGCAAGCTGCCGCTCTGTTCCAGAAGACAAAAGCAAACACCACGATGCTGTCTCTCTACACACTCGGGGGTGCTGTCTCAAAGTGATGGTGCGGCATCTGCAGCTGTAGTTCACGGTAGGAATCTTGAAATCTTCGCATACACAAGCGCGGCGCGAAATTGCTGAAAACTATCATGGCCCACAGGATCGACAAAACAAACGAAAAGCCCCGTGACAGGGCGGTCGGTGTGCACTCCATGCGCTATCTGATTGGTAAAAAACCTTGCGGTGTATGTTTTTGGAGATGACGGGGAAGACCCTTGGGTAGCGGTGGGTGTTCTCCACGGTCAATCGGCCAGACACAATCTCGGGCCTGGGATGACATCGTCACTAGAAAAGAGTCACTCACTCCGATTGGCAAGCTGAAGTGCGTAAATATAGAATATACCTGTTTAGACCTAAACGCGTCTGCGGCCTTCGACGGCTCCGCGCCGATGACGCGAATGCCGGGGCAGAGGGCTTTGACGGCTGTCGCCACCCCGGTGATAAGTCCTCCTCCGCCTACGGGCACCACAACCGCGTCGAGACCAGCGCCTCCCGTCTGTTCCTTCACCTGCTGGACTAGCTCCAGCCCAACCGTACCTTGCCTAGCGGATAAAAAAAGAAAAGGCGAGCGTTCAAAAAGAGAGGATGGTGGGGGGGGGATTTGGCAAGGCGACAGCCAAAGACAACCAATCCAGACTTGATTCCAATACACCGCAAAGGGACTGCCAACCAGCGTTCATGCATCAGACTATCGGGGTGTAAAGCTCCCCAACCCACCTACCCGCACTGGACCCTGGGGTCATTGTAGGGGTGTATGAGGGTGGACAGGGGGTGTCCAGATACGACGGCCGCCGCGGTGGTCTCTCTGCCGCTCTTCGTGTTCTCGCAGAGGGTGATGCTGGCGCCGTAGTCTCGGACCGCGGCGACTTTGACGGCCATGGAGTTGTGCGGCATCACGATGTGAGCGTTGACTCCTTTCACGCTGGCTGCCCACGCGAGCGCCTGTGGTTATGGTCGAGATGGCAAAACGATAGGCGTTTTGTTTTTAGTGCGTACTGCGGTTGTGGAGGTTGCCTGGACTTGCGTGTGACAGCAGTCACGTATCGAACCGAACACGGGCACGTATTGGGCGCTGGCACAAGCTCAATCAACGGCCAAGCAACCGTTTTAGAGTTTTAGAGTGCTCTATACCTACCTGACATGTCAAACAAACACAAGCGGCAGCGGGGGGCACCACGCGCAGCCTACAGAATACCTGGGCATGGTTTCCGCTGCTGTGTGTCACAATGTCGCGGCACTCTGGCGGAGTAAGCAGCACCGCGTTGCAAGCGCCGCGGGCCTTGAAGGAACCCGTCTTCTGGAAGAGCTCACACTTCAAGAACACCTCGCGGCCCCCGCTCATCTCATCGAGGGCGCGGCATGTCATGACGGGCGTGTAGTGCACATGCGGCCCGATCCGGGCTGCTGCCTGCCTTATTCCGGCGATGGATACTGCTTCCGGCTCCGCAGAGGGCTCATGAGAAGCCTCTTCCATGTTGCGTACGAGTTGCAAGGATTGCGATGATACGGACAACAAGAAAAGAGCAGCGCGACGCGGCGCGCTTTGTGTTTGCTGTATAGGAGTACACCGTAAAGTTGTCGTCCGACTACTCTCAATCACGGTGTGATAGCTCCACCGTGATGATCTTGAAACGGGCTCTCTCGTCCGCGCATGGACAAATGGTGTGCGTTGTCGTTTGCACAACAGCAGGTCAGGCTTCTCAGGACAGATGCAGATGCGGTGCTAACCACAGGACTGTCGGGCGAACCGAAATGCGGTGCAACTCCCCGAACCAAACCCCAAACCCGGATCGCTGATCGCGGCATCGCGGCGCTTCACGGCCAGTCACCGACCGCCGACATAGCACTTCAATTGCTGCTGCGTCGTAAACCGAACAGCGAGGTAGGCACGCAGGCACGTAGCCACCATCGAACGGGTGCCAAGGGGGAGCTAAGAGAAAACAAGGGGGGCCAAGAAAGGATGAAGACAAGCCTAGGGCATATCGGCAACAAAGCCAAGAGGACGGAGCTCTACCGCAAGCAGAAAGGAAACAAGAAGGCGGAGCAGAAGGACCGACGGAGAAGACGAGAGAGGGAGGCCCAGGAGCTTGGGGAGGTGGGTGGTGTGATCTCGTGTTTAGGCGTGTGGTCAACCGCGCGGTGTATGCGGTCTGTGGTACTGCCGGCGCCTGCCTTGATGGTGGCTGGTCTCTACTGCTGTAGCAAATATCTGGTGGCATCCAATACGCTGCAGGTCGCCGTCGTATAACAAGTCCGACCTACCGCTTGGCACACGGGCTAGTTATTCCAGTAGCCGGCTTGTGGTTGAAAAGTGTTGGCCTGGGCCGTGGTTAGCGGTGCCAAGACTAAATAGTAGATTCTGTGTGCGCAGTTAGGTGCCGTTCGTTGTGTAGGTGCATTCTTGCGACGGGTGCAGGTGCCAAACCAAGGCTTCCACCTGCTTCCACATCGTTAGTTTTGTTATTTCGGTGGGAAGGTGTCATGATAGAGACAAACTCATGTGAGTTGAAAGAAACTTTGGTACCGGTGTCTAAAAGATAAACCCCGAACGATGGCCATATTATGGTGCTTTCGCCGTAGCTAGTTTAGAGCCGGGGCACAGCAGCAGTAGCAACAGCAGCAGCAGCAGCATACCTTTGTACCAGGTGCAGCAAATGTGCGTGGCTAGGCAGCAGAACGGTGCGCAACACGTTCTGCTGCAGTGGTGCCTGAGATGCCCATGGGCGTAGATGCAGCAGGTTCACGCCGCATGTCTGTTAAACTCCCCGTCGAGGTAGAGTCAAAAAGCTACCACACCTAGAAAAAGCAGCATTCCACGTCATTGCACATCTAGCGCGCATTGTTCAGCAGCCGACCCGTTGTGTACAAACAAGCAAGGGCGGACCGGGGCGTTTGAGTCTGTCCTGGTATCGTGAGCACCCCCCCCCGCGCTGTTTTCCAAGTACAGCAGTCGTGGCTTCGTTATTAGAGGGTACCTTACAAGAGGGGGCTCCGATATAAGAGGGTCGAAATCGGTTGTCACGGACTCGACTCGCTAGAGTAGGGTTACCCTCTTATACAGACACCGGGCCCTTTATTGTGGGGTCACCCCACTATAGAGGGGGTTTACCGCACTATTGGGGGGGCTTGTAAGTGAGGGATTGTCGCCGGTGTGGCTCCCCCGGCCTTTCACTCACACTCAAACGCACCTTCCTCACAAAAACGCCGCAGGAAATGACCTGAGAGGAGCTGCCAAAGAATAGTGGTATTTTGGTGAAAATGTTGACAAATGCAAGGGGGATGGTGCAAAGATGATGAAAGCACTCCGAAACGAGCACATGTGCAAAGTATCAGCCTTGGGTAAACACGTGCAGCTATCTTGTATTGCTACCGTCTCTATCTTTAATCTGGAGAGTAGCTTAGCCTCCCCCATAGCGCCCCCTCGTGGGGTCCCAGACCATGGCCGCACTGAGACTAACGTGTTTTCATTGGTCAGCTGGTTAGAGCGGTCGATGCTAAGAATAAAAAAAAACACACACGAACACACACACATCGCGGCGCCAAGTAGAAGCAGGGGGCTGTTTGTGCTAGGCTAGAATCTCGTTCCTTTCAGCATACGGTTCAAAACCTGCAGCGCAAGCCTTAAGAAGTTCTTCTCTAAATAAATGTGGGCAAAATACGTATGTTGGTGTGCGCCAGGAGCCAGGGGGAGGTAGACCGTTTGTTGGTGCAATACAACATTTCCTAGCCTTTGTACATGAAGTTAGTTTCTCATGGTCGGAGAGTTGTCGAGGAATTGTAACATGTTGTTCGACCCCGTAGACTATGCGTTTCAAATGCATCCATGAACATGTACTTTACCTCAAAGTATCAATGGCTGCGTCAACTTGGCTGCGAGGCAATTATTCTGTGCAGATGTTCCCACTCCATGAACGAATTAAATACAAAACGGACAGCGTTGCAATACGATCACAATCACCCGGCTTGCTTTGGGCGTGTGAATTCGCAATCAGCCCACCACACGTGCTTTACAGTCCACCACACATACATGCTGACACACCTACACGGCATACTGGTACGCTGTGCCGTAGTCAACTGCCTTTGTTGCTCGAGATTTCCCGATTTTCCCTTTACAAGAGGGTACCCTACTGTGGAGCACCCTCATACAAGAGGGTAACCCTCTTTTACCGATACAAGAGGGGGCTCCGATACAAGAGGGCAGAGATCCGCTGTCACACCACCCTCTTATAACGGATCCACGACTGTAGAGGTTTTTCTCGGCAACGGGCTCATTCTCCGAAACTGCGACTTCGCCTTTGGATGTTGACTTCAAAGATGTCCGCAACGAGTGTCTTCCTCCCCACCCTCTGATGCGGATATTGCCCTCCCCCCCCCCCCGAAGCTCGTCATCTCGAGGATGCGAGGTCAATGGTCTAACCGCCAAGGCATGCAAGACATAAGAGTACACCCACCCCCCGCGCGGTCTTCTCTGCTGGGTCCCCGCAGGAAGCGCCTCCCAAGCAGAAGCCCAAGACCCTCGAGAGCACTCGAGATCCAGACCGGACGGTGGTCAAGCCAGCCGACGACGAGGTGTTCAGGGATGAGGCGGAGGATGAGTTCGCGAGGTTCTTCAGCAACGAACAGGTGTGTTTGTGCGTGTGTTTTTATTGGTAGATAGCATCGACCGTACCAACCAATGAAAAACCGTCAGTCTCTGTGCAGTTGAAAGCAACAATAAGGCGTGTGTGTCGTTCCGCGTTTGATGTAAACAAGGAGCAAGACCTCCACGTAGGCAGTGAGTCGGCCGGATTGCCCGGTACAGCGCGCAACACGTGTCCTGTATTTTTTTTTTTTCGTCCCATCTCTGGCGCCGCCTGCTTACTCCTCTTCGGTGCAAACTACACGTTTGCCGCGTATGTGCACTTACACGTCTCAGCGTACTTGGCACACTACAACTAGCTAGACGCACCGTCCGGGGTCACACGAGAGGGGGTACCCACGCCGTTTTTTTTTTTTCTTCTTTTTATATTCTTTTGTCCCCACCTACCTCCTGCGGTGCCTGCCTGAGATATTTTTATCGCGAGAAAATTACAGCAATCCCTTCCCTCGCGACGGTTAAGTCGATGTCGACAATGAAGTCAACCAGTTTACTAACAACGAGCTTTGCAGCGCGTCGCTTCCAACTTAGACCAGGCTTTATTTAGAGAGGAAAACCCACTATGCTCGGACTCGAACCCATGACCTGGCCCTTAGTAGGCTGCGAGGATACCCACTAGACCACCGGGGCGGGTAGTGTTCTGAAGCGGAGGCTTTGGGAGATATGGTGGTGGTGGTGAAAGGATGAGCGGTTTCAGGAAGTGCGCAATGGATTTGCTGTCGATATGATAAAAAGGAAGATGTCGGTACGAATAGGAAGAGCTGCTAGGATGGCAGCGCACAGCACGTAGCCGGCTATTGGTACACAGGCAAAAAATAATGCTCGCGCTTCTACCGAGCTTTTGTTAGGTGTGGGGAGGGGGTGCGGGACCCCCAGCTTACCGCTGAAGTTGCGGCTTACCCCCGTTTTCCGGCTTCCCGTTGCTGGTGTCCGACGGACGACTGAGTTGTTATTTTCGTATGACGATGCGCCTCAACTAGCTATGGTGCCCAGGCCTCGCTCGAGGTGTTTATGCGCGGGAAGGTTTAACTGCGTGGTTTGGTCCGTTAGCGTCATCCGTCTCCCTCGCCAGTCCGCTCGATTCATCCCGCCCGCTTTCGTCCGTCATCCGGTTTTCTCCTCCTCCGTCTCGCAGACACCGAAGATCATGATCACGACGAGGCCGAGACCATCGGGGAACCTGTTCCACTTCGTGCAGGACCTCATGCGCATGATACCGAACGCCTTCTTCTACCCTCGCAGTGAGTGTGGTGCTCGTGTGGCTTTTATCTGCATTGCGTCAAGTGGCGTCTTATTTATTCTTGGTTGTTTTTTAGAAAGTAAACATAACCCCACAGAAAGACTATACCCGTTCGAGATATAACCTGGTTGTTTTTTGGTCGTGGTTGGTCGGTTGCACGTTGGTTCCACGCTACGATCCGTCCACTGCAACGTCGATCGTTGCGCAAGACCTCTTGTGCCGAGCAGGAGCGATGGCTGTACCCCTGGCAGCTAGTTTTCTGCATCCTTCAAAGGCTCGTTTTTTTCAGCTCGTCTTTGTCTTTCCATGTCCTGTTTTGCTTTTATTGGCGCTGCTTTTTGCTGCCGTAATGGTATTGGTTTTCACTGAACCTGTCACTGTTGCCTTGTGTCGACCAGGTCGCCCCGCCTTTGCTTGGTATTCCCAGTCTTGTGGCAGCCTCCTGAAGCATCCTCTTGGCCCACCCTGTCAACTCACACCCTCTTTTCGTGAAAGAGTTTCTTCGTCATGGTCACGATCGAAACCATGACTGCTGCTGTCACGACGCGCCGACGCTTAGTCCACACCCAAGCCTATCTACCCTCTCAAGTCGCTGCTGACCGAGGACGCGTGTGGGTCGTTGTCGCAATCCCAACGCCCCCCCCCAAGCAAGAGCACCCCAACGTGAAAGCTGTTTCAGCTGTTGGAAAAGCAGGAGGTGCGAAGTGGAAATCATTGTCTGCCACGGAGAAATCTCCATATGAAGCTAAAGCAGCACAAATGAAGTCAGATTATGAGAAGCTTATGACAACATACAATAAAAAACAGGAAAGTACGAATGATAATGATGATGAAGATGAAGAGTCAAAATCTGCTCTGAATGATGAAGATGATGAGGAAAGTGGGGAGGATGAGGAAGACGATGAGGATGAAGATGACTGAATCCAGCATGCTTTCTAAATGTCCCGAGCGTGAGCTCCGGACCTTGTAAT